AAAAAAAAAAAAAAAAAAAAAAAAAGATGAAGAAGAATAAAATAAAAAAGAATGAAGTAAAAAACGTATCAATAACAAATGAACAAAAATTTTAACTTCAAAAAGTTGTGAAGGTGAATACTCAATTATTTAAAATGTAAGTAAATCCTCATTAGTCCTTCATTAGGTTGAAATATTTCTTTTCTATATGAACCTGTAACTGTTAATTCCAACAGCGGTCGGCAACGCAAAATGAATTCTGCAAACTAATCAAAACTCGCTTTTTTACTTTAATATCTTAATGATAGTAGCTCTAGTTTGCTCCAAAACAAGTTTGCTGATCTTTAGCAATTTATAATTTGCACAGACGAGAGGGTTTTTAATATCCAAAACAAATCAGTTATGCTTCGTTGTGCCAATTTTAGAAATTTGTTACAGGAATCTTTTTACTACCAGACTATCAAATCGAGCAGTGTGCGAGAAAACAGACAACTTAAAAAACTATGCTTTGGTAATCTTACTATTTCTTTCAGTAGCTTTTTTTAAAAGAAGGCTATCGTCAGAAAACTACACTGCGTTGGCATAATTTCCCTTATTACTCAAACTTGGCTCAGCACTTATAAACAAAATCGGACAAGTAGTGAGTCTTTTAAAAACTGCGATTTATTTAAAACACTAAAAAAAAGTTGTCAACCGTTGATTTTTGAAACCTTGGTCTAACTAAAACCTTGCCACAATTATCTTTTAGATCAGCTTAATAAGCGAACTTGCCGGGAGAATCTAAGAAAAAACACTGCTTTGACGCACATCGCCTCAATAAAAAGTGACCAAATGAGAGCAGTAAAACTTCTTCACACTACTGAGATATGATCCCTTTACATCAGGTATTCCATTTTTCAGAACTTGATTGGCTGGTAAGGTCTCATAAGACTACAACTAAACAGAGAAGAAAACAAAACCTGAGATAATACAAATAGTTAGCTGATAGTGATAAAATGTATAAGTTAAAGGCTAGAGAGCATTCAGACACAAGCAACCAGCTGCTTCGGCTACCTAACAAACGACAATCTTGATTTTATAGCCAACAGTGACCGACTGTTACGGTAACAAATGGCTGTTTACATTCAAATACCTCTTGACACTTGTTCCGTGTATTTTTTTCATTATCAGCTTCTTTTTTTAATATTTATCTTTTTATTAACCTAATTCACCGTATTTTGTCACGTGTCTTTTTTTTAGTCCTG